GACACTTCTTACTCTCTTTCTGGATTTGTCATCAGGGGTTGGACAGGTCACATGACTTAGCAAAATACCCAATGACTCACTATGACTCCCTCTGAATATATGACTCACTATGACTCACTCTAAAATACTTACTATGACTCACTATGACTCACCTTGCACATATGACTCATTATGACTCTTAATGACTCTTGAATACACTAGTAGCACAGCCACATTTATTGTGTATATAATGACCCCAGTTTTTTGAAATAAAAAAGAAGCAGATACCAGCAGGTAGTAGGGTGTTTCTCAGCCCAACTAACACTAAGTTGTGAAGTAAGGTGTGATAAGTGTCAGTACCAGTGTCAAGAACTGTTTTAAGACTGAGAGGAACACTCTCAAGAGACAGTAATACTGCAAGCTCATCATACTGAACGACCTGCTGTGAGCTCACTGTGTGCAACAACCAGCAAGCAAGGTACAGCCACACTTTTATTCTGATTTCTATTATTCTTTTTCTTTTCTTTTACTTTCACTGACCTTCGGTGTTCTTTGTCCAAAAATACTGATCCAAAATATTCGTGTTGTCTCTATGTCCACCTAAGACTCAGTAGTAGCATAGTGGGGAGACTTTAGGAATTGATAGTGAAGCTTGACCTCACTCATCTGAGTAGTGATACTGAGCCAAGATATTCTGTGCCTGCTAGGCTTTAGCCATTGAAGAGGGGACTTGGTAGTAAACCCAAGGACGTCCGTTCCTGAGTCTGTTTGAATACTCAAAGAAGAGTTCCTTGACAGCAGGTTCAATATCGAGCTAAGAGTTCTACAATAAAGCATTTGACTAGTCTTGACCTTTGATTCTACCTGTTTTGTGCTGAGGGAGTTTATCATTGTAATTCCGCACCATTTCTTTTGGAGTATAGTTGGCACGAGGCACTGTTGTTGAAAGGGAACTTGAGGAAGAAACCCATATATTCTTTTGGTCATCGCCATACTGTCGGGCTGACCATTGTTTGTTTGTTTTCCTGTCAAAGTCCATAGATTGGATTGACCATCATATTACTGATCTTGCAGAAGTATCCTTAGCTGAACATACTTTGGGTAGTATACAACTAGCCACCCACGAACGACCACATTATCAGTCATTGGTATTTGTCTGAATCGCTGACCGTGGAGATATTTGTTTTATAGGTGTTTATCTATAGATCATCTATCTAAGAAGACATCAGGCAGCGACCGAGCTTTGTTGATAGATTCGGGTATGACGACGTTTGGGCGTTTGGGAGGTTTGGTGGCCGTGTGCATCGCGGATTCGGTATTGTTGCTGTCGTGCTGACTGGCTGTGGGTTCTGGTACGTATGTCCAGCGTTCGGCGACGGGAACTCGTTGTGCTGGTATGGCCGTTGCGCTGGTGCCAGAGGGTGCGATATAGCCAGCTTGTGCCGGTTGGCGTGAGCGAGTGCTGCGACGAGGTGGAATATCCAATGGAGGTGCAGGAGGAGGAGGTTGCTGTGGGATGTGCAGTGTTACCTGTTCGGTTGGGTCGGGGATGTGTGGTGTTACCTGTCCGGTTGGGTTGCCATTATCGTCAGAAGGTGGGTCGTCATTCTCTCCCACTGACACCTGCACGCAGTCGGCAGGGGTCGACAGAGGTGGCTCACCAGCCTGCTCTCCCACTGATTGAGAGACACCTCCCACCGATGAAGTGACACCAGCGAGACCCGGCGAGTCGTGAAGGAGAAGAGCGAGGGGTGAGGAAGCAGGGTCCCCATAGAACACATGTTCGTCGAAGTGGACGTGACGGGAGCGCACGACGCGTTTGGCAGAGGGATCCCAGAGAATGTAACCTGCATTCCGGACATGGCCAAGGAGGAAGCAGCGACGAGAGACAAAGTCGTACTTGTGGCGGGTGTCCTCCGGTATATGCGCATAGGCAAGGCAACCGAAAGGACGAAGGTAACCGACGTCCGGTTTCCGACCATAGAACAGTTCAAATGGCGTGCGACCAGCGAGGGAGGAGGAAGGGAGCATGTTCTTGATGTGGGCTGAGTTCAGAATCGCCCAGCCCCAGAACGGACGCGGGAAACCACTTAAGTGGTGCGCACTTAGCGCACGAGTGACAACAGTTTGGTGCCCGCATTCTGCGACACCGTTTTGTTGGGGAGTATAGGGCATGGTAGTTTCGTGCTCGATACCATGGTCCTTAAGGTAAGTCAGAAACTCCCGCGATATGTACTCGCCTCCATTGTCACTGCGAAGTCGCTTGACACGCCCCCCAGACTGTGTTTCTATCCAGGGTAGGAAATGACGGAAATGACTAAAGACTTCTGACTTAGCACGCATTAGATAGACCACTGAGTACCTCGTGTAGTCATCGGTGAATACCACGAAGTAGTGGTCACTGGTAGTGGCTGTGATGTTGACTGGGCCCCAGACGTCAGAGTGGATGAGGTCAGCTGTAGCTTCAGCGCGGCGTGCAACAGCAGGGAAGGGAAGCCGTTTATGCTTTCCCATGATGCAGGACACGCAGTGTATCATGTCGGCACCATCAACGTCGTGATGCAGCGTGTCCTGATCGATGTTCATCCCATTGACGTGTCCTGTGGCCTTCATAATGGTGGAGAAACCAGCGTGCCCAAGGCGACGATGCCATGTATTGAGGGACGGAAGTTGAGTCTTTGTGAGCATTGCACGTGCAGGAGTGGAGTCAGCCGCATGGTATGTCGCATCTAGCAAGTATAGTCCGCCTTTCTGGTGCACGTGGGCGATACACTGCCCATTGCCGTTGTTAGAGCGTAGCGTCCCTCCTTCAGAAGTTGTCATGAAGGATATACGAGCTGAGGCGAGGGTGGAGACTGAAATGAGCGTGCAACGTAGGTCAGGGACATGTAGGAACTCGAGCTCGTGTTCCGTCAACGAGTCACCAAACCGGAAAACTAGTCTCACTTTACCCCATCCTGGGGCTAACACCACATGCTCATCAGCTAATGTCACACGGATAGGTTCACGCAGTTTCGTATAGTGAGAAAAGCGTGATATTTCGGGCTCCATGTGGGCCGTTGAGGCAGAGTCTATGTGGAAGGATCCAGCCGGTAAAGTAAGGGCTGATGAGATACTGGCTGAGTGATCCTTCAGCGTAAGGACGAAGGGAGGTGGTATGGTAGCGTCAGTTGGGTCTGGCAGGGAGGACACCATGTTAGCGGTGGTATCGGCAGGTGAGGGAGGACGAGGTGCTGACTTTGGAGCCTTCTCGTCCTTGGAGAGCCGTGCACGGCACTGTACCCAAACATGTCTGGCCTTTTGACAGTGGCCGCACTTAGGTTGCCAACCCATTATCCAACCATCCCCTTTCGCCTCGTCAAATCCCTTTGGTGGGACACGCTCACCAACCTTGGGGTTGGAGGGATTTCCCCCTCGGTGCCTAGAGAGCATGGCCACATGGTCACTGCCACCAGTCCCAGCGCAGTGTAACTCCTGAGTCTTCAGGCGGTTCACGACGTCGCCGAAGTCTAGCGAAGTGTCGCTGTTGACGAGAGTTTGACGAAGTGGGTCGTAGTAGTCAGGTAGGGTGCGCAGTAGGACATGCACGAAGATCGCGTCCGGGATCTTGTATTCGTCCTTTGCTGCAGGTGTAGTGATACTGGAGCCTGAGGTTGGGGGTGCGACTGTGGCGACAGAGAGAGCTGCAAGGTCTGACTTCAGCATGGTGAGGGTCTGCATGGTTTGGGCGATGGAGGTACTGTCGTGCGCCTTGGGAATGGTGACCAAGCAGTCCAGATACTGGTTGAAGCGAATAGCCTTTTGGGGAAGATATTTCTTCTCTAGAGCAACCCATGCCACGTGCGGATCGTCAATGTCGCGGAGATGGACGAAGTCCTGCGCATCAATCGCTGTGGACATAGCGCTGAGAGCAAGGAGCCGACATTGCTTGTAGACTCGTACTTGCTCATTGTGTTTCTCTGCGCGAATGATGTTTTGATCGACGTCCGTGAGTGTGGCTGGGATGGGGGGTTCCTTCTCATCGCCGTTGACATATGGCCATAGTCCAATGCCGCCAGACCACATCTTAAATCCAGTGGCCCATTGAGAGTAGTTGGATCCGTCGAGGGTGAGCTTCTCATGCGGGTACCGTTCAGTTTTGGGAAGGGAGTCAGAAGACGACATGGTCGTGTCAGAGCCGAATAATTATCGGCGAGAGTGAGAGATTTTTTTTTCAGGAGATGTCGCTACCTTTTAGGCAGGGCTCATAACCTATTAGAGAGTGAGAGCTAAGGTAGCGCGAGTCTCAGTCAATGGAAGAAAGACTAGATTCATGTAAACTAACCTAAGGTAGCGCGAGTCTGTAGGACCGCTAGTAAGCATCGTGTATAGTATAAATGAATAGTATACGCACCTCAGTCAATGGAAGAAAGACTGAGGTGTGAGTGTAGCGTCTAGCCACCTTTAAGTACGAAAGAGAAAATAAGAAAATGGTCAGTTACTAGGGGGACATGACGTCCAATGACACTGACAGCTAAGGCACATAAAAATGTAACGGTTAGATATATCTATCTGGAACCGGCTCGGTGCTCTGACGGATCACCTCTCAACAGAAGATAGGCAATCAGGAACAATATGACGACAACCTGTTAGACCATGTTTGCTGATCATTATGAACAGCTTACTCGGCAGAAGTCAAATTTAACAAAGCAGTTAGGTTGGCCTCGTCCCACATCCACGTTTCTGATGGAAGCCAAGCAATCTTCCAAATGATTCAAACTTTTCCATGGGAACACATCTATGTGGAGTCAATCTTCAACTTAAAACGCCATGTTCAACGGTAAGGCCAAGCAATAAAAATGAAATTTGGAATGATAAATTATATTTTCTCGCCTTATTCAGCTGCCAATGAATTTGAAGGACCCTGCATTCGTACTAAACAAGAAAATCATCAGGCCCCTAAATAAATCTCTGACACAGAGCTGTTAACATGCGGTCACTAATACATTTCAAGCTCCTTCAAGCTATAATACTCCACGCGTTCAGTAGCGTGATGTGCGACTAGGAACGACCTTAACACCGAACACTAGTAACCCAATCAATACAGAGTTTATATCACATCAACAAGTGTACTCACCGGCACCGGAGGCACGCTCGGATCGGATGTTCACGGTCGCGCCTTCCACTACAGTGCTGGGGCCAAAATATGTTACACGCTCCCACTTCCTGGGGCGAGTTATTTGAGAGGAATAGGCCACTGGAGATGGTGGTTGCTGTGGCCGGAACCTGTTTTTGGGAGTGTTGTATCCTAGAGGACTGATCAGCATACGACAGTAACGAGGCCAGAAATGTGTCGCCCACTTGCTCCGGTTGCATTGTCTGAGTCGAAATTGATTGTAGGTGACCCAACATACGAGTTGGAATCGAAATAAACGCAGTCTGTATCTTCGTCCAGTGGTGTATGTGGACTATCCTGAGCTGTGGGCCGTGCTGTGTGGTGTCAGTGTTGAACTGGGGGGTAAGAACGTCGTGCACATACCTGTGGAAGTATTTGAGATAGTTTGCTCAGTTACAGAGGGACTGACGAAGGCCGCGAGACTATCTGTGCCAGTTGAAGTCTCAGACGAGCTACTACCACCGGTCATGGTGGAATTGAACTGAAGTGACATGGGACCTTCAGATAACGGGTTTTCACTACTAGATGACTCGGAGCCGGGTTCAACCTCCGGGTCGGTTCTGGCAGTGGCTGGTCCTGTCCAGAGCTTAGTCTTCAATGACGGCGACAATGAATGACGCTTACCCAGTTTCTGGTAATACCGGTGTAGAAACAACAATACTGGTAGGAACAAATGATGCTCCTGACAGTATCTATAAATGTTGAAAGGTCGCGCGTTGCCTAGTCTGCGTTACTTGAGGAGACAAGTGCGTTCGACCCTAAAGGGGAAGTGAGTACAGCAAAGATCTACAGGTATGCGCGGAAATGCGAAGCGTGAGAAAGCGCAGGTACGCGCAAGGTACGAAGGCGTGGGAATGCGCGCGTGTATTAGCGCGAAGTGCGGGAAAGGCACGCGCGCGAGGCGCGAAATAAGAGAGACTAAACTTAAGTGATGATATGATACAAGATAAGAGAAGAGATGTGATGTGCTAATGAATAGGTTTCTACTGCGACTTTCTAGGTATTAAGTAGGTAAGTAAAGATGGGTGAAAAAGTTCAGTGAGTTGAAAAGTAAGTACTGCTGGCGCTTATATAGTGCGCCTAAGCGCAGTCATGCGGAGCCGAAGCGCTACCGAGTAGGTATGTAAAAATATATATATGTGAGAGTCCATGATAAAAATAAAGATGGAATAATATGCAATGAGAGAAATAGAAATATACGCACTAGAGAACATGGTGGACAGTGGATGGATGCATCTGGATGGCTGGTGCTAAAGGGCGCGCAAGCGCGGGAAAGCGCGCGCGCGTATACATCGCAAAGTGTGGGAAGTTATGCGCGCATGGCGCACGTTGCACAGGAAAGCTGCGCGTCATATAGAGATAGCTGTGGGTAGTGCACAGAGTGACGCTACAAGTTTGTGCTATGTACTTCCTAGTGTAAAGCTGTCATATCAGACCATGAGACACACGAGTCTCTACACCGGGCCGCCCTGTTCTGAAGCTGGCGAAGGGACAAAGTATTCCCAGAAGGAAAACATAAAGCGGCAGCATGATCTCATGGTCTGGCGATCTGGTGAATTATTGAGAGTGTTGATAGGGACTATTTACCTCCGATTAATCCATTTATACTCCTGCAAGACTGGCAAGAAAATATTGTGTTTTACTTTGAGCTTTGTTCTGAGTTGTGTGGTATTGAAGAACAACAATAGCCATAGGCAGCCACTGCAACAACTGATAAGAAACGATCGTAATGGCGGTCTACATCAGGAAAAAGCTCCTTCACAAAAACAAGGTAATTTCAGAATTTTTTGGAGAATTCCTCGTAATTTCAGTGAAATCCAGTGAAATCGAGTACGACCAGATTTCTCAAGCTCGGTCGTAGTTACTTTGAATTTCTTTGAATTTCTTTGAGTTTTCAGTCATTATTCCTCGAATACCATCAAATTATTTTGAATTCGGTTGAAGTCGACATACATGAACATTGATTAAAACGAAATATCACAATCAAAAGATGTGAAAAGAAAAGAAAATATCAGCAAACTGAGAAGCAACTGACTCGGTGCCATATTCTGACTCGGTGCCATATTCATAGCTTGATTTATTCTTCGACCATTGCATCGAGATCGAGATAGTCGCAAGTGCTTGATGAGGCAGTGGATGCTGAGTTCTCGATTGCACTGGTGTTGAGTTAGTCAGAGTGCCCAACAATGAAGAATGGTGCAAGCAAGATGCACCTGATAGTCGCAAGTGCTTGATGAGGCAGTGGACGCCGAGTTCTCGATTGCACTGGTGTTGAGTTAGTCAGAGTGCCCAACAATGAAGAATGGCGTAAGCAAGACGCACCTGACTGCCTTGTAAAGCCGTGCCATCAGTGCATGGTACTTCTTTATACTACCATTGAAGATGCGGTTGAGAGTCGCTTGGTGAGCCTTGTAAACACTGACATGGGAGGAGGCATTGAATGATTTGACTTGCGCATTTGAAGGTGGGTTGCCGCTACTCCAATCCTTCAATATCGCATAAATCTGTGGAGAATGTTATGTAGTCAGTATACAGAGTTTGAAACAGTATCACAGCCGGTGCCTACCATAGTTCTTTTTTGCAGGTATCTTCCGTGCTAATTTGGCTGCAGGTGCTGATTGCAGTCCAGTTACTGTGGGTGCGCGCTTACGACTGTTGGCCATTGTCTCATTCCAAACTGAAATCAGGTGCATTTTAGTAACTGCTTTCTAACTGTGCAAGTGCTAACCTTTCCGCTCTAAGGCCTTTATCTTCAACAACCGTTGCAATGGTTCTTGATGATTGTGAGTCCCTCACAATTTTCTTTCATGTACTACTTACTATCTGTATCGCCTTGATTTTCACCACCAGATTCTTGACTCGCCTTGGCCTTTGTTTTGCTGTTCCGCTTGTGGGCGGCTATTTCTGACAGCGTTAGAGATGCTCTGGGAGGCATGCTGATGAGGGGGCAAACGGGAGGAAGGACTGAAAAAAACTGCAAGGTTCGCAGTCCGCTGCCATTTTGAAGCTTGTAAGTTTGTTTGTGACCTGCACGGGTTACCTATACCCATGCAGATCCCTGGGCGGCGGGCAAGAGGGTGGGGCGGCGGGCGTCATCAAGATGAGGGCGGGGTGAGCTAAATTACAACTTGAAGCTCAGTCACATCGTCCTGATTTGGAATTAAACTCCGCTTTAATCTGGCCGGGCAGCTGGCACACCCCCAGACAGGACCCAGACAGGACCCAGAGTGGACTCTACGTAGACTCTATGTAGACTAGACCTAGAGTTTCCATAAGCCTTACATTCACCTATTTGGATACCTTTGTCTCTTTACGCATGCTGTTCGGATACCTTCGTCTCTTTATCTACGCCTGTTTCTCGCCTGTTTCTCTACTGTCAGAATTAATCTGACTTTATTCCAAAAAGGATACCGTGTTGCGCAAGTTCGCGTCGTCTTCACGCTGACAAGTCAAGCTACAAATTTGTTATTCCCTGCTGGACCTCTAAAACCACCCGCCCACCTTGCGTATGTGGAATGGTTCACACCCTTCCAGCAACCTGAATTCCACCATGGGCTGTACAAAATTTGCCGTCTGATGCGTCATGGAGAGCGTCTTGCAAGCATTATCGATGTATCGGACATCCGCAGGAGTGTTCATCTTTTTCCAAATTTCGGCGCAGTAGTACCTCGTGAATGGACGAGCAGTACCGTTCTGGAGCTCTGTCCCAGCTTCTTTGTAAACTCGTTTAGTGACCGACACGCTTATTTAACTATTGTTTGAGGAATATAACGAGATTCGTTGAAATACTCTCGAAATACATGTAATTTAACAGATTCGTTGAAATACTCTCGAAATACATGTAGTTTAACAGATTCCCTGAAATTCCTTCTTTTTTGAGCCATTTTGTGAAGGAGGTTTTCTCTGATGTAAGGCAGTGAGAAGATGTCAGCACCTAGTACGATGGTCTACAAAAGCCCAAATCTAACGTACCTCACTGCCAGGTTGTGCCTACGGTACTTAGTCGCACCAAACCCAGAGTACAATTGCATTTTTTTTGCGTAAAAGAACTTAGCTAACACAAGGGTAACCTTATGTGAAACACTCCTGACGGCATCGCGATGCGGCTATGCCTTGATGGTGCGATGATTTTGGCCATCAGAATCTTGAACAACAACGTTCAACGTCGTTGCTACTAGCACAACTAATAAGTACTATCCTGCGTATGTTATTCATGATTCAGCCACGAATTTAGTCAAGACATCCGAAAGTACTTGAGGTCAAGTCTAGACGTACCTTTTTCTTTCTTGCAGCTTGGCTAGTACGTCCTTGACTGACATGGCAATTCTAACGAGCTCTGCTTGTACAGCGAAACAAAATAGTAAATATTTACCTCTAACGCGGAGGTAAAACTGACATTTAAATGAAGGACAGCAGTACACGCTAAGCTGACTCGCGCGGAGTCCAAGTGCTTACCAACACTAAGGATAACTGCAGTGGTTGTAGTGCGACACGAGTTGCCCCCCGGCACTCAATCAACATGAAAAACCTCATACGCTGTATACTATTTACAATATATATATATATATACATATACTAGTAGAGCAGACTAAATTCACCAAAAATTAACACAACATCTAAATTTTGACTGTCGCGGAGCATCAATAGGTTCATTAGGTCATGGTGCAGACAGATATGCACAACACTGTGTAGACGTACATACTTCGAACACGTACGTGTGATCATCACGATAGCATGTACCCAATTATTTGGAAAATTTAGTACATAAAGAACTTTTAGTGAGCATAATTATTTCCACGTATTGCACTACCTCCTTCACAACATTTGTGTTGATGTGGTGAACTTGTAACATGATTTAACTCGCAGGACTTACAAGAAAGAGAATGCAAAGGTGGTCAGAACGATTGAGCATGTGATGCCATGTCCCATAGACAAAACTCGAATATCAACAGTGTTAGCGGCGAGCAGCTGAAATAATTGATTAGATGGCAACGACACAAGATAAACAGGGAGAGTACGAACACGACGACCCTTGGCTATGCGACCTATCATAGTTCAAAGTTGGTGTGTTCATGACAGATCTCGAGGCAACATAACTATTATTGAAAATAAAATAGTTGTTACCAGATTCTGACGGGAATGCTTCAGAAGGACGAGAACCACTTGGTGACGCAACTCCATCATCGCTGGTTGCCGAGTCTGCAGTAGAACTGGGTTCAGTTCCAGCACTAACTCCGTCTTGTGATCCTGCAGTTAAGTATGGATATAACAGGTAGACACGATGTTCTTACAATCTTCTACTTGAAAATCATCCGTAAATGGATTTCCCCCGCAGAGCAGGTCCACTTGGGATGTGATGAAATCCACAGCTGCGGTAAAATGCGAGGCTGTAGGCTCATCCAGTGGCTCATCCAGTGGGACAGCAATTCCGCTAATGCGAGCATCGGATGACAGGTCATCATCTGGGTAAACATTGAGCTCGGATGATCCAGCAGAAAGAGAGATAATTTGCAGACATTCTACGCGCTCGACATTTGTTGAGGCAACAGAAAGTAATTGCCTTCGCATCCTCTCCGATGTGGTCTGCAGAAGTGCATCAGAGGTCGATGTAAACATCCAGAACAGGTAAGTATTACCCTGGTATTCGTATACAACTTTTTCCCTGCTTCCACGAGCAACCGAGTCGAACGATATGCTGAGAATAATTTCACTGGGTTAATTGATTTCTTTTGTTGTTCTAGTCTATCCCGTTCAATAACCAGTCTGAAATATAACAAATCAAAAGTCTAACATCATCAAGTGCGCAAAGGGACAAACTTGTCATACGCAAGCTTCGTCGCGGAAACTAGGTCTTGAAACTGTGTCTTATCAGCGGCCATGTCGTGTATCTTGAATACCTCATCTAGTGTGGCTTCAAGAACTAGATCGGCCTGTGCGAGACCGCTTTGATCCTTCAGTCTCATGAGAGGGAAAATGGATCAATCATATTGAGCAGGTGTACCGAGATTTACAGGAATGAGGAGGGTTCGTTTATCTGGCTCAGAAGGCATGATCAAGTTCTGGGTGATGCTAATAAACACCAATCCCATATCAGCTGAGTACATTTAAGTACTTGTGCGTCAAGGCGCTTCCTCAGGGATATTTAATGCTGAAAATAAAACAAATTGCACATAGCCTAGTAGGCGAGTCGGGGTGACTCAACGGTTTCTGGGGGTCGATTGTAATTTTAAAATGGGCATTGCACGGATAGTACAAAGTACTTACATACTGGATAACGGTTGAGATAGTCCATGTGTACGTTTGTTTATGCCTCCAAATCTCGGAAGACTTACGAAAAGTAGTCGGCATATATGATACTTAGTTAGCTTTGACTGTGTCACACTGTTGTAACATCACGTGATGTTCGTAGGATTTGTGGGTGATTTGTACCTCAACATGCGCGACACTATGACTTTGAAGAACAAGAGTCCGAAAGCCAAGACGAAGAAAGAACAGAAGGCCGCAGAACTTGAGAGACGCAAGGCTCTCAGAGCTCAAAGAGAATTCGAAGCTTTTGGAGCGGAACGCGAACGGAGACCAGGAACTTTATCCGTGTATGAAGTTTGGTGGTGTAAACAGTATCAATGGTTAAAGGCTCATGGGTACTTACTTCGTTCTCGATATGCCCCGGAATGGATACCATCATGGGAGGGTTCACAGCGTCACCCTTTTACTTGTGAAGATGGTCACATATCCCAAGTGAGGCAAACAAGAGTTTGTCTACATCACCAAGCGACTTACGAGACCACAGTTTCCTCAAATAATGGATGCGACTCGCATGTCTGATGGCTTGTACATTTCGCTCAAAGTGGTGGACAAATCGGTACACCCTCACGAAGTAGATATCGGGCAATATTTCATGATGGAGCCCCTTGCTTCCGATCCCAAGAACCACTGCGTTCCATTTCTCGATGTACTATCAGTACCGAACGAAGAGGGAAAACATATACTCGTGATGCCACTGTTGCTTGATTTTACGATGCCTCGATTCGACACCGTTGGCGAGGTGGTGGAATGCCTTAGACAGTTATTTGAAGTGAGTGAAATTGCTCCTGAATTTGATATTGTTCCTGTAATATATCGCAGGGGTTGTTGTTCATGCACACCAATCACGTAGCGCACCGGTATGTAACGTGACATCATTGTCTTATGTGCTCAACTCATCACATTACAAGCGATTGCATGTCGAGAAATATCATGATGGATGCAAAACACCTCTACCCTGAACCATATCACCCTGCTCAACCTCATATGAAGCGTGACTTCAGTGGCTATGTGAGCCATCTCACTCGCACTCAGCGGCCGCCAAAGTACTACCTAATTGATTTTGGTTTATCACGGCGGTACGATGCCACCGAGGAAAACCCACTCGAGTATCCAATATTTGGGGGCGACAAATCAGTGCCAGAATTTCAGAAGAATGTCGACGTTCCAATGAATCCTTTCCCCACCGATATCTATTATCTCGGAAACGTCATCAGAGAGCAGTTCTTGTATGTGAGTACCTGCAGATCTCATTACCTTGAGTTTATTGTTTATGATTCCAACTAAGGCCAGAGTTGGGCTTGAGTTTTTGAAACCTCTCGTCGACGACATGGTACAGGATAGTCCCAGTGGGAGACCTACCATGGAAGCGGTAGTTCAGCAGTTTGACTCGATCCGTCAAAGACTCAGCACATGGAAACTGCGTTCCCGTGTCATTTCTGTGGAGGACAGCCTCCTGGAAAACATGTATTACGGAACCACACACTGGCGGCGGCGCATAGGCTTTATCGCCAGGCGTGTTTCAGCTATACCTCACCCTTCCGGTTGAAAAATGCCTCGTGCGATGTGTGCAGTGATACCATGTGAGCCTCAAGGTCTGAGGATATGGGATGAAGTCTTGGTTAAAATCTACCGGCCAAATAGTCGGTTACTCCTGCATGATTATTATATCTAGGCGTTGCTCTTCGCTGTTACGCGTCATTCCCGACATATCTTAACAGAACTATTATACTCAGTATGTAAAGTTGCGAAGGTCGGGACCTTGTAAAACAAGGTAACTTATGCAATGCCCACGGAGCCGTGGAACACCTTAGTTCCATGCATCAATGGCACTGCCTCCTGTGCCGTCAGAGTGGCATCGCCCGTAATTCGAAAAGGGTTGACAAATCTGTCAAAACGCTTCATCCACACATTGAATTTGGTTGCCTACTTACGAAAAAAAAACAGCAAGGTGATATCACGATAACTAGGTATACAGCATTACAACTTAGCCTTCGCCTTGACTAGCTTGGCCATCCCGTCGATAATCTCTTCTGCCTCCCTCTCCATGCGCGACAAGAGCTCTTCGCACGTTGGGATATCCTTGATCAAGCCAAGTACAAGACCTGCAGTCCAAATCCCATAGTCGGGATCACCGTTCTCGAATACAATTTTGCCTCGTGCGCCCGAGACAAGGTCGCGAACGTCTTCAAACTTGGCCCCGCCTGGCCGCCGCTCGATAGCAACGACTTGCTGAGAGACTACATTCTTGAAGACGCGTGAGGTGTTGTTCAAGGTACGGAATATGTGAGTGGTATCATATTCGGTGGAGGCGACAATTTTCTCTTTGATGTTGTGGTGGATAGGGCTGGATAGCGTGAGTGAGAGAATATTAAGTTATAGTGCTACTACCGTACCTCTCGACTGTGCACATGAATCGTGTGCCCATGTTCACTCCCTGCAAGTACAGGTGATCAATAGGATTATGGTATAGGAGCTACAGTACTCACAGCGGCACCAAGTGCGAGACAAGCAGCCAACCCACGGCCATCTGCGATTCCGCCCGATGCGATGTATGGTATTTTGAGTTCTTGAGCGGCTCTTGCAAGCTGTAAATTGTCACTATATAATGATAACGATAACCGGTGATAAAGCGCACCAGAACAAGGCCACCAATGTCCTCCTCTCCAGGGTGACCAGCACCTAACAATATTGTCACAATCAAATTCAAACAAGTAGATGAGGGACTCACATTCGAAACCGTCGATACTCAGAACGTCAACGCCCAGTCGTTCTGCGGACTACATGACCCGCTTTAGCATATGAAAAATACATCTTAGTCTGATTAAACGGGGAGCGAACCTTGGCGTGTCGAATCGTGGTGCACTTGTGTATCACAATGCATCCATGTGACTTAAAGAACTGGATGAGCTTTCCCGCTATGAGTTGTGTCAAAATCATTGTAACTGATGAGAACGAGACTACGCACGACTGTTTCCTGCTGTTTCAAATATCTTGACGCCTTCTTCTACAGCTACACGCGCGAAACCTTCATAATCTGGTGGGTTAATCGAGGGCAGAATCGTGATATTGACGCCAAAGGGCTTGTCAGTTGCTACGCGGGTTTCACGGATCACAGTGCGTAAAGCTTCGGGATTCGGTTGTGTAAGTGCAGTGATGACCCCTACAACAAATTTAGCGGATATAGCTAGGAAGCGAGCAATATTACACACCAAGACCTCCCGCATTCGACACGGCTGCAGGAAGTGGAGGTTTTCCGACCCTGCGCACAACAATCAGATCATTCTTGAGAGAACTTCGACGGTGCAGACGAAGTTTACCATTGCATACCCCCTTGCACTACTGGGCTGTCGACAACGGGACAAGACGTAAATGTATGTCTTCTAAACAGCAGACGTGCATTAACTTACACACGGATGCCCAGAAGTTCAGTCAATGCAGTTCTAATCATTCTGTCTGGATTGTGTTCTTGAATGCTCTTGGTGCACTAGGTCTGTGTGGACTCCGTTGAGAGGTACTAGGTAACAGTGAGCCTGGTATGATAATATGAAGCGGGTGTAAACGTGAAGAACAAAGGTCTGCGAGCTGGGCAAATAAACTAAATGTGGCAAGCAGTGAGGATAATGGTAAAAGAGTCGAGACTACATATACTACGCGGCGCTCGGTCATTGCTCGGTCCTTTGACAGGTCACCGGCATGTGATTGAGGACGTCCGGGAAATGGAAAGTCTAGTCTACGTAGACTCTTGTCTGGGCCCTGTCTGGGGGTGTGCCAACTGCCCGGCTAGATTCGAGCGGAGTTTTATTTCCAATCGGGACGTCAGCTTGGATCGTCACCACCAGCATGGACAAGCTGTGTCAGGAGGGTGGCAGTGGGAACACAGCAGTCAGGCAGGTGGTCGGCGGGAAAGAAGATGGGCGGCAGGCGGCGAGCATTGTCGACCAAGATGAGGGCGGGGTCAGCTACAAACTCCGCTCGAATCTGGCGGGCGGCCGCGGCACACCCCCAGACAGGCCTCAGTGGTTGCTCAGTGGGCTCCTGAGCTTTACTTTCACATGTGATTGTAATACAACCGGTTACGCTTTGCCAACTTGGGTGGTGCTTTGTCACGTTCAGTTGCATTCAATTCCATCATCATCACCATCATCAAATCCAACTTATAATAAGTAGAGCGCGCACTGATAAGCCCATGTAACCGGGGAACTAACCTTCATAGGATTTAGTACGTTATACACGTGGAATGATGGCCCCAGATGTCGTTTTTGCCAGCTAGATCATCCTAAAGTTGTTACCGGTACGTCGTATTGGAATGAAAATGTAATGTCTGATATCACCACGTTCGAAAGATTTCTGCTTGAAAGCTCGAGCTCAAGGTGTATGATACCATAATCAGCCTTTCGCAAAGTACAACAATGCGAGAATTTTTGTGGCTTTGACTGTGGACACAAATTGTTGCACTGTCCTGCGGGCCATGTGGACACACCCCCTCGTGCCAAAGCCGACACACACAACTTGTGGATCAAAACCCAAGCCCACAACTTCCACAGCTAAACAATGGGTGTCCAAAGCTTGGCCATAAAACCTGATGTTATCTTAAAACATCAGCTCTCGCTCATTATTCGCGTTGATACCTGTATCGTCTCAATGGCCAGCACAATAACCACCAATCTCTCGAAGTCTCGCACTATCAGGCGGAAAGCAGCTCCTCGGCTCGAACCAGAACCAGAAGTCATCGCACATGGCCCTAGAGAATCTCTTACGCAGAAGTCGGACATCAGTACTAGCAGTGACAACAGCGCTGTGTCGTCGACCTGTATATTGTCCCTCAATGTCCCACAGTTCGACATCCAAAAGACGTTCCCAGCGATCCTCGATCCCGTCAGACTTTTCCACGAAGCCGCAGACGCACAGGACATCGAATCAATCCGTTCTTTGACCCCAACCTTTTTGCATGGTTTGACTACGATTTTGCGCTCCATGTCTCAACTCCCCGAAGACGTTCGGCATGCTTCAGGCTACAGGAACGCTGAATCCGGAGTCCGGCACTACAAGCTCCTCTTTATGAGCCATATCCAGCCGCTCCTCGACAACAAGGGCTTTGAACTGGTTTGTAGGAGACAATTCATTTGGGAGACTCTTGGATATTTGGACGCTATAATGTCTAGCCTGAAAAGGCTCATGCAAGTTGCCGAGCTCGAGATGCGTCAACTGAAGCCCCTTCCTGATACTCCTGAAGAATGTGAAGAGGAGATAGAAGCGGAAGAAGATAGCGACCACATCAATGGACCTCGCCGAAATTCTTTGCTGTCAGGGGATACCCACCAGTCTAGTGAAGGATCATCAACGGACAGGACATGTGTTGAAGAGGCGGACGAACTAGGTTCTCTTGCGAAACCCCTGGCGATTAAACACACGAAACGGGGACTGGCTGCCATTCTTGGACCACTTTCAGTCAACTTGCGCCGCAAAATCTCCCAGTCATCTGCAAAGGCGGACAAAGCGGCATCTGTCGAGAAACTCACAACTTGCACAGGGCATGCTCGCGCGACTGCGAATATCAGGAACTCGATTGCCCTCTTTCCCGAGCTATTTGATGACGAGCTGGAGAAATCGTTCCCTCACCCGGATGACAGCACGGAACTCTTCCTAGACAAGAATGGAGTGCTTCAGCTTGCTTCATTGAAGGGCCTTGTCAGGTATCTGACATCGGCAGTCTCTGATGACGACCTGGAGCTGTCAGATGTCTTTTTTCTCTGCTTCCGCTACTTTTCGACTCCAGCACTCGTTCTCGAGGCTTTCATAGAGCGATACAAGGAGAAGTTACCTGGTTGCTTGTCTCCCGACCAAGCTCACATTCAGTCCATGCACGTCAAGATGCGTGTAGCTCGCCTGCTTAACCAATGGGTCGATCTTCATTGGCGTCACTCAGAAGACCAGGAGGTCTTCGCGCCTCTCCTGCAATTCGCATTCTCTGATCTCTCTCGAGATCTCCCCCGCAGTGTTTCTTCGAAACTTATCGACACCTTGCACAATGCTGCGTGCGCTAAAGAACACAACGGACGTCGCCTCGAGAAGACGGTTCAACTCATCCAAGGCTCTTCACCAGCTGAAGAGCTCTGTAGTTTATGGGAGCCTCGCGGCAAGAAGGCGATGGTTAAGGGGGAGTTTGCGAACATCAAGTTGTCCAACTTCGCTTCTCCGCAAGGAATGGAGCTCCTGGCTCATCAACTCACCGCCCTCTTGTGGGAGAAGTACCGGGACTTCCAGCCTGAGGATGCTGCACGCTTTTGGGTGGAAGAAGCAACTGGAAAGTCCACTTATGGCGTTTCCAATGACGCTAGCACGAAGGTGACCACCTACGCTTCCTTTGAGAAGGCTCTTCACCTTTGGGCACTGGACGTCATCGTGTCTGCGCAGTCGATGGAGGATCGTATCCAGAAGGTTCAGTTTGTCTTGGAGTGGGCACAAGTTAGTCTTTTGTCATACAATTATAGCCTGAGCTGACGCATCCTTTTACTCGCAGGAATGCCACATCATCGGAAACTACGCTGCTTCTTGGGCATTGTTTTCCGCGTGTGACAGACAGAGTTTGGTTGGCTCTTTATCGGTATGCGCTCAAGATTATGACGTTGTTTCTCACTCACCTTACTTCACAGAACATCGGTGCCAGGCACGAAGAGATTCTACTCGCTCTACGTCTCTTTTTTAGCCACACAAATCGCATGAAGGCCTACAAAGACGCGATCCAAAGTAGCCGTGGACCCACTCTGCCCACTCTTGGTACGTTTAAAGACACTGATGACTTGACTTTGTGCCTCTAAC